AGCTGTCAGGTAGCAAATGTGGTTGTTGCTGGTTTGGGAGTTGCCTTGCACTTTGCCTTGTTAAGTGTTAGAAATAAAGGTTATTATTCTTCACAACCTGCCTTTCCTCAGTTCCTGCCTGCCTAGTTCTCAATACAGAGCACAATTCTTATTTTTACAAATCACATAAGGATCATATTGGTTCTCATAAGAAAGCTGATAATAGTCACAACATAAATAGGTATCTAAATGGACAAGCCTCGATTTATAACTATTAGTTTAACAACTGTTCAAAGTTACTACACCAAAAAGTGACTTATGACCGGTCCTCAAACTTATAATCATCACAGCATTCCCACAGTCATGTGATCAAAATTTGGCTGCTTGCCAACCGGGATGTATTTTGTTGATTGCAGGGTCCTGACCTCACATGATCATCACTTGTGACCTTCCCAGTCAGTTTCCAACAAGCAAAGTCCATGGAGGAAGCTCAGTTTGCAAAATGACATGATTCACTTAACAACCATAGCAAAAAGATTGTAAAAGTGGGTTCAACTCACTTAATAACTGCCTTGCATGAGACAGTTGTTAAGTGATTTTTTATAACCTATCTTGCCACAGTTATATTAAGTGAATCACTGCAATCACTTGTTAAGCTAGTAACACGGTTGTTAAGGGAATCTGGGTTCCTCGTTGACTTTCTTGCCAGGAGGCTGCAAAAGGTGACCCCGGGACACTGCAACCATCATAAATATGAATTAATTGCCAAGCGCCTGAATTTCTATCATTTGACTCTGGTGATTCTGCAATGGTCTTATGTGTGAAAAATAGTAATAGTAAAAAGGCACTTTTTTCAATGCAAGGGTAACTTCAATGAATCGTTGTAAGCCAAGGTCTACCTGTACAATATTTTCTGCTCCTGAGTGGTTCATCTCCCCAACTGAGTTGGGTCTGGAAGGACTTTTGCTCTCTTAATGAAGAACAGAATAAAAATGCTCTTGGACCCATCTTTACCACTGAAGCACAGGTGATGTTTCTTCTTTCAGTTTAGGACAGATAATGAAATCAGCTATCAGTATTCATGATATAGTCCTGGTTGTATTACTGCAGTGAATTTTACAAGTTCAATCTAGTAGATTATATCAAGAGTAGATAAATAACAAATCAAATCATAATTTGAGGCAAAATGGCAGAATATGCCTGGAAAAGAAATGAAAATAAAATGTGATTACAAAAGGACTGGGTCTGCACCCAAGAAATCAGAATGGGAAGATGATACAAACCTACAGAGATTAGGTTTAATATAATATAAACCTACAGAAGTAGTGGATTGACAATAAGAGGATATAAACTGCTGCTGCAGATGAAAAGATTAGACAGACTGGAGAAGGTAAGAGAATGGCTGTCCCCAAGCATAAAAGGAATAAATTATATTCAGGAACTTGGTAGAATAAGGAAATATGAAATAAGTGACCTGGGGAAGATTGAGATATCCAGGTGAGAAAGAAAAGGAGCCAAAGAAGATTAGACTAGAATCACAGCTAGGAAAAAGAAAGATTAGTCTCACAAGACAAAGCATCCTAAAAAGATTATGAAATAAGAAACACAGTTGGGTAGCCTTTTATCTATCTCTCGAATAAGAGAGCATTAATGACTAATCAGGAAGAAGCAAAAAGGAAAAGGCTTTCTGAAGCTTTTCTCCATGTCGCAATCTGTCTAGCCAGGGTTCCACTTATTGTAGCCACAGGGAGAAAGAACAGGTGGTGGATGCAAAAGAGACTCATTTGCGGTGTTTGGTTGACATACTAAAAGCAAGGTAACAACCTTCACCAAAGAGAGAATCACCCAGGACATTGATTGGGGAAGGATCAAGATGTGCAAGAATGAAGAAGAGGGACAGAAGAGAGAGATGAGATGGATCAGAAAAATAGCAGGAATCCAATTCAACATCAGAAGAAAGAGATGAAAATGTTATATATAACTTCAGGTCATTTTTCAAAGGGACTAGCAGGGATTATTTGTTTAAATATTATTATGTCCTTGTGATGTATTAGGTTAAGTAGACTGCTCCATTGACAGATGACTTGGAGTGGAGAAGACTGACACCCATACATATATAAGCAATATATATTGTTTTGATATCTGTATATCAGCTATACATTTCTGGTAGTAAGTCCCTTGAAAAGATTGTTAGAGAGACCTGGGAAGAGATTAGACCCTGTTGGCTTAAACAAATACATTTCCTGATCTATCATACTAGGGGATCAGAGGTGGGTTCCTACCAGTTCGCACTTATTCGGTACAACCGGTTCGTCAAATCTACCGAACCGGTTAGAAGAGGTTCCACCAGTGAACCCGGAAAGCAGGCCACACCTACTGAAGTTGTTCCAAAAATTTTTGAAATCCACCACTGGTCCTTGGATATGATTATTCTACACTATCATGCTCATATTTATAAAACCCAGTCCCTCTGTGAAAGGTAAGGATGACTACTGCGTTTGTGGTGCAATCAGAACATTGCGTGTGTTGAAGTAGTTTTAACGCAAACCAAAGATGCCTTTTAAAAAGCAAGTTTACATCATATTCTTATGCATGCCAGTGCTGTGTGTGAGGTAATTTAAGGTGGTTCTGACAAGTGTCGTCAGCATCTTCATATCCGGTCACAGGGGTGGAAAGCCACTCCCATCCGGTCACATGGGTGGCAAGCCACACCCACAGGAGGCCACACCCACAGAGTAGGTTCGAACAATTTTTGAAACCCACCACTGTAGGGGATCTACAGCAAACCAATATTAGGTTAAAAAAAAGAATGTTATAAACATGCTGATATAATGAGGCAAATTCTGTGCCTATTGCCTGATAGCTGATCCAAATACGTACGTCATGGTATTTGACATCATGAGGCACATATCATTAATTTCTTTTGGTAAGCACTTACATATTTTTAACCATTTTATGCCACCACTGTACTGGATAGAAGGACACATCAAATATTCTTCACTTGTTAACTTAAGTGAATTTGCATACCGTACATAAAAGGTGTATCACGAGTCAGTCACCACAGACAATTTGTTATATAAATTGCATTAAACATTTGAATTTATCTCATTTTCTTCTAAACATTTCCTTACTTATTTGATAAATGGCCTGTAAATATTCATAAATACTGTAACAGTCTCTGAAAAAATCAATTAATGACACATATTTTAATTAACTCATGGG